ATTAGTAACCTAGACTTAAGAGTTTTGTTACAGTCTTTTCTGTGAATCTGATTGTAGGTATCTTTAGAAAAAATCAAAACGGTTGATGACAGAGACTTAGAATAATCATGATTAAAAATTGAATGGAAATTCATTATAATCAGCAATTGACAAGGAAATTTGACTACGTTCTGGCTTATGACATAATAACCAGATTTATGACTGATATATTAGATTTCTAAGAGTTTTATACAGTTTTGGAACATTCTTATCAATAACTTATCCATTCATGTAACTGAAAGAAGATCTTGCCTCACTATTTGACAAGGTTTCCCAAACCATTTTCCAAATAATCCTGATTTTAGTAGCTCCACAGGATGAGAGAGACATTCTTCTACCTTCTCTGTGGCCCAGTGGGAAAATCCCAAAGTTAAATCTAGCTTAGAAAGACTTAACTTAGAATTTTGATATTGGGGAAGCCCATCAAAGATGCCAAAAGATAGAAAGCACTTGATCAAAACGGGCACAGTGGAATAATAGTCATGCATTTAACCACAGTGATAATCAAGCCTTTGAAGAAATAGAGAAAATTACATGGATGTAAAAACAATCCTTTCAAAGCTCTGTTTTCCTAAGTAATAAAAGCTAAAACCTACTAAAGACAGCATAGGAATTTATCTTGGTAAAACATAATATCTTTAGATTTTATTTGTTTTTATTATTATTTTTTTTGAGACAGGGTCTCACTCTGTCACCTAAGCTGGAGTACGATGGCACAATTTTGGCTCACTGCAACCTCTGCCTCCTGGGCTCAAGTGATCCTCCCACCTTAGTTCCCTGAGTGGCTGGGACTACAGGTGTGCACCACCGTACCCAGGTAATTTTTGTAATTTTTTATACAGATGGGGTTCCGCCATGTCACCCAGGCTGGTTCAAGCTTCTAAGCTGAAGTGATCCACTCACCTTGGCCTCCCAAAGTGCTGTGATTACAGACGAGAGCCACTGCACCTGGCCCAAGATTCTTTCTCATACAAAATTATTATTTTTAACTTTCCTTACCAAAATTACTTTTCATACCTATAACTTTCTTCATCTCTCTCACCCCTACTTACCAGTTCCTTTCTATCTTGTTTCTAGTTCCTTTCTAAATTTACTTTTTGAGATTACCTTTAAATAATCTCCAAATTAGACAAAATTATTTTTTTTCTCAAAGAGAATCATTTTATAATTTTTAGAAACATGTTTCCCCATAACATAATTTTTAATGTGTACTAATGGACCAAAATATATTTAATCTTTCTATAAAATTGAAGAAGCAGGAACACAGATATTTATGTTCAGTCATTTGTTTCAGTTTTTTATCTTATTTGAAAATGACCCAGACATTTAATGAACATCTATCATTTCATTGAGCATAATTTTAAATTTCCAATTAGCCAGGTGTGGTGGCACACACCTGTAGTCCCAGCTATTTTAGGGCAGCTGAGGCAGGAGGATTGCTTGAGCCCAGGAGTTTGTGAACAGCCTGGCTACATAGTAAGATGCCACATTAAATAAAAAATAAAAATAAATACACTTTAAAAAATTTCAAATTACATGAAAAGTTTATTTATAAATGTTTACATGATATATTTATTTTTAACAGTTTACCTAGATGTGAAAACTGAGATATTAGACAAAGCTTGTCATCATTTCAAGTTATTTCTCTGTTAACATTTTTATAGCCTCTGAATATGAAGTGTTCACCTAAGAAATTTAAAGTTAAATATATGGGTATTTTGTTGATAACACAGGAGATACAGCTGATTTTATGAAACCAACAATATTAAATTAGCCTTATTTACCAAAGGGTTACACAAAGGTTATTCTGTTTTAAAAATGAATTTATAGTTTAATATCTAACATATACCAGCATGCAGCTAAAAATGCATACCGACAATTTTGAAGACATTTCTATTTTTATGTTACTAATAATTTAAAAACCAGCTTATTTATTAAAGATTTACTTCTAAAAGGCATGAGGGTTAATTACTATATATTTTCTATGAGTGCTCATTTATCTAAGCCAATCTGAATGGAATTCCCTAAGGGATTGCTGGCTGATTATGTCAGATTTTACCATGTAGACACAACATATTACATAATACATGTACATATGCATAAACATACCAGATGCTTACATATGCACACAAATCTTACAGCTTTCATTTTAAAATTTTAGTTATGAGAGAGTAATACAAACTCACCAGTCTATAAAAGAGGGTTGGATCCAGCTTCTACTTCTGACAAAATGCGACCTGTTCACATGGCTAAAGTTTGCTCCAACAACTAATCCAGTGAAAGCTGTGGACCAAAATTTTGATAAACAGTTTAACTTTTTAAAATCTCTTTCATCCTTTTCCTTTTTTCTGTTTCAATGAGTTTGGGGTAACTCTTCAATGTTTACATTTTAACTAAGACCAACTGAATTGTATAAGAAAAACAAAGTCTCCAAGTGGCCTTGGATTAGTAGAAAATGTATCTTTTGTTTGCTGGTCTGGTTTACTTGAATAGTCAGTGGATGGGCAAGCATTTTGGCTGTGTGTGTGTGTGTGTGTGTGTGTGTGTGTGTGTTTTCTTTTTTGTTTTTTTTCTGGCACCTTGTGTCAGACTAAGCAATTTTTATGCTGGACAGAGAAATATTATTGCTCTGAGCTCATGATTTTCACCTGTTTGGTCTAGAAGCCCAGCTTTTTTTTTTTTTTTTTTTCTTTTGAGACGAAGTCTGGCTCTGTCACCCAGTCTGGAGTGCAGTGGTACGATCTCAGCTCACTGTAACCTCTGCCTCCTGGGTTCAAGCGATTCTCCCACCTCAGCTTCTCAACTAGCTGGGATTACAGGTGCCTGCCACCATGCCTGGTTAATTTCTGTATTTTTAGTAGAGATGGGGTTTCACCATGTTGGCCAGGTTGGTCTCGAACTCCTGACCTCAAGTGATCTGTCTGCCTCGGCCTCCCAAAGTGCTGGAATTACAGGTGTGAGTCACCAAACCTGGCCCTGATAACTTAACTTTTATAAACATTTACCTAGGTCTTTTTCTTTTAGACTATTAATCCTTCAATTAACTGTTCTATCACCTTAAGTGGTTGTTAGACAAACCTAAATTTACATTTACAAAAGGTATCTAGGTTGTTGGCTGCTATGAAGCTGTTGTAATTTGTAAAGCCATTAATTTGAAAGACCTTTAGGACCCCCCCCCGCAAAAAAAAAAATCTTGGCTGGAATGCCATTAGGAGAGAGTGTTATCTCAACACCAGGAGAAAAGTTAGCAGATTCAAAGTAGAGATCTTAGAAGGATCCATATGTTAACACTGTAGTTGGAGGGTTTGTGTGCTTTTTTTTTTAAGAGAGTTTGACTAATGACTGAATTTTCCTTCAAGTAATTTGCCCATCATTTAAAAAACATGCATAACTTAGGCCATATTATATAGCTGGCTGGAGTCTCAGAAAACCTGGTGTGCCTTAGCGTTTGTGAGTCCCATTCCATTTCTTATTAATCTCTCAAGAGCAAAGATAATCCTATAAATCCACCAGAGAATGTCAGGAGTCTGGACTGGTATTTTAGATCATGGCAACTGCCCTCATGGCTTTTAATTAGTCATCCACTAGTGTCTGCCATTTGGAATGTTTATTTTTGCTCTTGGAGGATTTCCAGAAATCAGCAAAGGAAAAGGGCCAAGTCACTTACAGACACGCATAACCGAACCAAAATGAGACCAAAATTAGTGTTCACAATACTTTTAACCCAGCTGTGCAGATTAAACGCACTCTTAAATTAGGCAGGCAGGAAGAACCAAAAGTAAATTCTCCAGAAAAGACTTGCCTCACAGATAGGATATAAATTCTCTAGAAACCAGAGCACTCAAACCAGAAGGGCACTTGTCCTCATCCCAGAAAGGACTTTCCAGAAAAGACAAAAAGGCTTTTATCATCCCAGGAGGATGTGATGTCCTTTATTAAAGACAGACTTGTAACTGAAACAAACCCTCTATAAAGTGAAAAACAATTCACCAAAGGGAGGGAGTCTGAGAATCCTACAGGAGATTCACCCGGCTGGAAAAGGCAACTCATGAAGATGGAGAGCACAAAGGGCGCAGTCAGTATACACTCAGTTTCAGGGGCCTCTGATTCTTCTGAAGTGAGCTTGCCTCATCCCACTTCTGACACCATTTATGTCAACCTCAGTAACAAACGGAGTGAGGCCCTCTAAAACAAAATGATATTTATTTGGTAATAAGGTATTGCAATGGGAATACATGTGTGATAGTAAACCATGTGCATATTCAGGGATTTGAAGGAAGACAAAGGTTTTCAAAGGAAAAATGAGGATTACATAATTGTTTTGAGATAATTATCCTTGGCTACAAGGATCAATAACAACGGTGGTGCCAGTTTGGGGTTGGACAGTCAGTTGCTAAGCAGATGTCCTTGCAGAAGTGTTTTTTTGGCATAAGGTTGTGATGGTCTTCGTGCTAGGTTCTGGTTTTCACAAGGTTGTGGTCTTTTGGAATAGTTTTTGTTACCAGACATTTATGCATGAGAACGAACTCTCCAGTTCTTCTTTTTTTTTTTTGTAAACACAAGTGACTTTTTTTTGTTGTTATTTGTTGTTGCTTTCTTTTCTTTTCTTTTCTCTTTTCTCTTCTCTTGTCTTCTCTTCTTCTTCTCTTCTCTTCTCTTTCTTTTGTGACAGTCTCCCTCTGTCACCCAGGCTGGAGTGCAGTGGCAAAATCTTGGCTCACTGCAACCTCCACCTCCTGAGTTCAAGCAATTATCCTGCCTCAGCCTCCTGAGTAGCTGGGATTATAGGCACGCACCACCATGTCTGGCTCATTTTTCAGGGTTTTATCATGTTGGCCAGGCTGGTCTCAAACTCCTGGCCTCATGTGATCCACCTGCCTCAGCCTCCCAAAGTGCTGGGATTACAGGTGTGAGTCACCATGCTTGGCCAGAAATGACTTTTTTTTTTTTTCGTGAAAGAATTTAATAGGGAGTTGATTTTGTTGTAGAATCATATCTTCCTGTTCTGTGACACATTAGAAACGTAAACTTTAGGGCTTTTTCATCTCCACAGCATAGAGGTCTGATCACTTCTGTCTAAAAACGGGGATTTGCTGGCGTATTTCAACCAGCTTCTTCAGGTCTATGTCTGAATACACGATTGCTTCTTCTGTGCCAGCTTTGGCTAGGACCTCCCCCTAAGGGTTCACCATGGTGCTGTGTCCCCAGGCAACGTAGGAGGCTTTGTCATCCCGGGCAGGAGAGGCTGTGGCCACATACACCTGATTATCAACAGCCCGGCTTCGCTGAAGCAACTCCCAGTGGGCTGGTCCAGTGGTCAGATTAAAAGCTCCTGGATATACCAACAGCTGGCAGCCTCTCTGTGCTAGATTTGTACGAGCTCTGCAAACCGCATGTCGTAGCAGATGCCCAGACCCACTCTGCAGTAAGGAGTATCAAATGTGGAGAAACTATCACCCGGACTCAACGTTTTAGATTCTTGAAATGTAATTTTTCCAAGAACATCAATGTCAACAGATGGATCTTTCTGTACTTTGCTAGTAAAGTTCCATCAGGCCCAAACACAGCACAGGTGTTATATAATTTCCCAGCATCCTCTTCAGGGATAGAGCCTCCAATGAGATATATGCTGCATTCCTTTGCTACTTCAGAAAGCTTCTGTGTGGATTCACCAGGAATTTTCTCTGCATATTCAGGAAAATATTTCGTTCCATATGGAGAATTAAAGCATTCTGGCAAACTATTTTGGCTCCTTGCGTTGCTGCCTCCTGGATAAAGCTACAAGCTCGAGTGACGTTATCTGATTTGATGGAAGAAATTTGAAGCTGGATGAGGGCCAAGTGGAAAGTGGCCATGGCTCTTCAGACAAGCACCACCTCCAGAAATGACTTTTAATTCTAACCACTTTCACAGAGTTTATCTGGTTTGGGATTTGCTCGGCTTCTTGAATCTGAAGGTTTATATTTATGTTTGTTGCCAAATTTTGGAAGTTCTCAGGCATTATTTTTTTGAGTGCTTTTTTTTTTTTTTTTTGAGATGGGGGTCTCACTCTGTTGCCCAGGCTGGAGTGCGGTGGGGTGATCACAGGTCATTGCAGCCTCAACCTCCTTGGCTCAAGCAATTCTGCCACCTCAGCCTCCAGAGTAGTTGGGACTACAGGCACACATCACTACGCCCAGCTAATTTTAAAGCTTTTTGTAGAGACAGGGTCCCACTATGTTGCCCAGGCTGGTCTTGAGCTCCTGGACTCAATCTGTTCTCCCACTACAGCCTTCTAAAGAGTTGGGATTACAGACATGAGCCACCGTACCCAGCCTCGAGTATTTTCTTAGCCTCCCTCTTTTTCCTTCTTGTTTGTTGACACAAATGTTAGCTCTTTTGTTATGGTCACACAGACCCCTGAGACGCTGTTCATTTTTTTTTGTCTATTTTCTCTCTGTTGTTCTGATTGGGTAATGTCTGTTGTTTTGTTTCCCAGTTTATGGTGCACCTTTCCTTTCCCATCCACTCCACTCTTAAGCCCATCTGCTGAGCTTTGTGGTTATTGTATTTTTTTAGTTCTAAAATTTCCAATAGGTTGTTTATATCTTTTATTTCTTTGCTCAGACTTTCGACTTTTTCATTTTCTACAAGTGTGTTTATAATTGTTTGTTGAAACATTCTTATCATGGCTGCTTTAAAAATATTTTTCAGATAATTCTAATATCTGTGCCATCTTGGTGTTGATATCTTTTTTTTTTTTTTTTTTTTTTTTTTTAAGATGAAGTGTCGCTCTGTTGCCCAGGCTGGAGTGCAGTGGTGCAGTCTCAGGTCCCTGCAACCTCCGCTTCCCAGGCTCAAGCCCTTCTCCTGCCTCAGGCTTCCGAGTAGCTGGGACTACAGGTGTGTGCCACTACATCTGGCTAAGTGTTGGTATCTATTGATTATTGCCTTTTAAATTCAGATTGAGGTTTTTCTGGATCTTGGTATGACAAGTGATTTTCTGTTGAAACTTGGACATTTCTATTTCTCACTCTTGTTTAAACCTTCTCTTTTAGCTGACTTTGACACCACTCTAGCAAGGGAAGAGGAAATAGCATATTGCTGCCAGGTTGGGGGTCAAAGCCCAGTTTCCCCCCCTGCCTCCACTGATACCTGAGGTGGGAGGCTGCTTGTTACTGCTGGGATGCCATGGGACTCCCAGCTGCCCCTGTGGTTTCCACTGACTCCCCAGGCGGGAGCAGCCGCACAATCCCTGGGTGCTGGTGAGCGTTCTGCCTCCTCACCAGGCCCCTCTGACACCACGCGTGAGGTTGTTGGGCACCTCATTATAGCTGTGTGAGGGTCGAGGTCTTGGCCTCTGCTGATCTGGGTGGGGCCTCATTTTTGCTGTGGTGTTCGGCTGGAGTAGAGCAGTTATTTATTGTCTGAATTTTCTGTCTTGCTAAGCTGCCCCTTTCCTAGTCCTCTGGTTGGAAAGAACAAGTTTTTGTGCCCACGGGTGTTTCCACTGGGGGTTTTAATTGTACTTAGTGGGAAGAACAGGGAAAAGAGCATCTACTGATCTTCCGAGACACAGGCGTTAGTTTACTTTTGGTAGCTGTTGTCAAGGTGTCCGTGTTACATGTGGTGCACATGTTGCCTTCCATTGTTTCTTTTTCTTAAGGGTGCATTTTGCTATGCAGAAATGTTTGGTTTTTAGAGACTCAAATATATTAATCCTTTTTAAAAAATGGATTCAGGGTTTTATAACATGTTTGGAAAGGCCTTTCTCAAACCAAGCTTATATATAAAAAAAAAAAAAAAACCTCCCATTTTCTTCTAGCTTTAAGGTTTTATTTTATTTTATTTTTTACATTTAAATATGTGAGCCATCTGGAATTTATTCTGGCATAAGTTGGAACAGGAATCTCCCTGCACTCCCTCCCTCTTGGCTACCCAATTGTCCCTGCTCCATTTACTGGGTAATAAATATTTTACGGTGTTAGGAAAATTCTGTTTGGTAAATGGTTGTTTATAATAGCGTTCCTAACAGCTGAGTCCTGAAAAAAGTGGTCTCAAAGTCCTGGAGGCCGCACGGAGGAAGGCAGGGGTCAGCCTTGAGCTTTCCTCGTTGTTAGTTGATGACAGTGGGTGCAGTGTGAGCCCCAGGCTGAACTGCAGGACACACTAGATGGTCAGCCTGTCCCTATCTGTGGGACTTGGATACCCTCTGGGTTCAGGAAGCCAGGGGTGGCCATGGCTGACTAGAGGGTGTTTTGAGCTGCCTTGGAAAGTGCTCCAGCTTGAAAGTTCTTCCTCCTCTATGGCCTGGTCATTGCTGAGGGTTGATCTATCCCAATTTTCAGTAGTAATAGCCCAGCTGCCTAGGAGCCTGAGCATCTGTGAATGGGAGGCTCATGACGACGTGGAGGAGTATGACAGAAATGAGCCCTTGGAGGAGGAGAAAGGAGTGAGTGGAAGAGGCCGGGGATTCTGCCTCACACAGAGGCAGGCAGAATGTGTAAGGTGGCCCCAGAAGGGATGATGATAGCAGCGGTATGTCCTGGTGCCCTGATGACACTAGTTATGACCCGACCTTTCTCTTCTGGCTGTCAGGTTTCTTCTGCTTAGGAAAGAGCACCATAGCCAGGGAGCCAAGGGATGTGGGGATGAAGAACCCCTCTGGAATGTGAGGCCTTCCCCGACTGGGCCTCAGTGGACTTTCTCAATTCAATGCAGTGTGGCCTACAAAGCTCTAACTGGGAGTAACAACCTGGGATTTGGCGCTCTCTCTGCCATTTGCTGGCAGGCTGGCTAGAAGAAAATCATTTTCCTAGTCTGGACCTTGTTTTCTTTACAAATAAAACTGGGTATTGAACTAGATAAGTGATTTTCTTTTTTAAGGCCCTTTTAAGAAATGGAAGAGTCCACAGAAACTCAGGAATAAAAGCGTTCAGTGCTAGGCAGCTGGGGTTGAAGCAGGCCTAGGAATAGGGGCTCTGGCAGCTGGAGCCACTGGACCAGATGGGGCTTAAGGTCCCTCCCGCTGGCCTTGGGCCCTGCTTTATGAATAGAGGTGACAACACCTGTCTGGAAAGGAGGGGGGCTAATGAGATGGTTGCCTGGAAAGCTAGCAGAGCTGGAACATAGGTGCTCCATCAATGAAGGGGCTGCTATGACCGCTTGTACCTTCCCAAATTCTCCCCTCTAAATACAGCTCAGCACCCCGCCCCTTCCTCTCCCTGCCACCAGCCCTCTGGGAACACTTTGCCCTCTGCATCCCAACCACAGCACGGCTTCGGGCTGGTAGCTAGTTGTTTATGTCTAAAACTTAACCACTGCAATCCAAGCAAGTTCCTGAAAGGAGACCAATTTCTTTCACAGCTCTAGATCCCCCAGGCTGCCTGGGAGGCAGATGTTCGACTCATGTCTGTGGGTGGACAAGCCCAGACCAGGATGCAGAAGAGATGCAGCTGCAGCAGTAACCAGGATGTGGCCCTGGCTTGGTGTTCACAGCACGATGCTCCTAAGGAGGGGAGGTGAATCATGGGGCCCTTGCACCTCACAGGGCAGCTGTAACAGTTAGAGAGTGCGAGACAGAAAGCCAAACAGCGTAGGACGCGACTCACCGACCCTGAGCCTGCATCTCGCCTGTGCCCACGCCTCTGCCAGAAAACCATCAAGACGCTTTCCAATTCAAAGACTCAGAATTAAGGCTGCGTTCATGTCGCTTCTCATTTATTAATTCAGTCTGTTCTAAGTTGTACAGTTATGAAAATAACAAAACCAAAGCTGGAAGCCCAGGAATATTTACACTCTCTTGGGTAGTGAGGTCAGTCTATGTTGTTGCACAGATTGGTTATGTTTGGTACCTCGAAATGTTTATAATTCAGACAAAATCAGACAGATTAACAATTTTATGTACAGTAAAACAAAAGGGGAAGTCATTCAAGTATCAAAATACAGAGACAAAGATTAAATAACATTTTTTATTACAGTTCAGTCCATTGCCACACCATGAGCAACAATACTTGTGAGCTGGCCTGGGCGTCTCACAGACAGCCCCCGTTCAGACTGGCTTTCTAATGTCTCTGCCTGCTCCAACCTGAGCGTCTCGGGAACTCCCATTAGTGTCTGAAGCTGGAGGGCCCAGGAGGGACACGGAGCACTGCACACGCAGAGCCTGTCGGGAAGGTCTTATGCGCTGAGCAGCTGGTGGACAGGGAAGAAGAGGTGGACAAGAAGCCTGTGGCTGGAACAGGTACTGAGCCCATCTGAAGTCTCCCACCCTAATAGGCTCCTTCACAGTTCAGAAACGCAGCGACAGGGTCTGCCCTTGGTGTGACCTGCACTTGGAGAAGTGCAAAAGTAGGGGCCTTCCCACTTGAAGCCTGTCCTTAAAGTTACAATAACACTTTCTAGGAAAGGGAGACTACCTGCCCCAGAGGAGAAGAAAAGAAAGGCCCAGTCATTTTCCTTTCTTGAATATTCAGAAATAAACCAATCTCTAAACAGAACCCAGGGCCACAGCAGACTAGCCAAGGCTTCCAATATGAAAATACCCTGAATAAATAAAGACGATATAGCAGCTTCAAGCAGAAGAAACACCTATGGATGATCTAAGCACAAAAGACAGCTTGAGGAGTGCATCGTAGTGTCTGCAGTTTCTTTCGGACCTGCCGCCCCCAACAGAGGCCCACTTAGACATGGCCTGGCCCCTCAGGAGGAAGACGGGCACCAGCATGTGGGCAGCAGCAGCGCAGTCTACTCTGGATGCTTTAGGGTTCCTGGTCAACTCTGGGAAGAAAGTCGAGGCCTAGTACTGTACAGCGTTAGCTCATGGGGAATCCTCACAGGCCCTGAAAGGAGCAGGAAATGAAGTGAAACTGCAAGGTGTCGAGGTCTTCGTTT